TTCTGCTTTAGAGAAATCATTCAAGCAACAGAGTTTCATCTAGACACACCTTGAAGACTGAGTAATTGAGATGGTGTGACACCAAGTGGGAAATATGAGACTAAATCACATCACCTCTGGGTACCACTGAAGCCATGGCACTGTAATCCACAGACATGAAACAGATTGTCAGATCTTGGGTTACACAGGTCCCAAGGTGTCAGAACACTGGGATTTGACTACAAATTGCAGGCTGGACATTGGGAAATTGGTATGAACAAATTGTTTGTAACTTCAAACATTAATATGGTGTCTTGCTTCTGACTTTGAAGAAGAGGTCAGCACAGACTTTTAACCTAATTGACCTCTGGGCTCAGCAGAGAATTTTCTATCTCCTCAAGTCACAAGCCCCCCCACCATTGCCTTGCCCTGAACAGGTTTAAATTTAGAAAGTAGAGTGTCAATCTGAAGCTGCTGTGAAGATCTTATTCCCTGTTCTTTGAAAATGAGGTTAGTCTTTAAGCCTTATAGCTCACCAGCTTTATAACAATGTGACAACTTGTCATGTTTTAAAAAGAACAGAAGAACACAACCATCTGTCACACAAGAACTAGTTTCTCATTAAATGAAAATTTGTACTTAAAAAAAACAATCCATTCTGCTCTTGATCTTTTTTTCTACACACCTGAAGCCTTTCTTTCACATTGAGAATTCTCTTCTAAATGGCCTTGCCGAAAGTATTCAATAGTGTTAGTAACTGGCAAAAGTACCAAATTCTTAGAAGTACAGCTGCATATTGTCTCAAACAATACAAATAACGGTCTTTAGAGAAAGATTAAAACAAGGAGTGACCCTAACTATTCATTCACATCCATTCAGTCACATGTAGGCCAACTACATGCGAGGTAAAAATGTGAACTCCCAATTCAATGTCCTTGGATTTGCATCGCATCCGAGTTCTCAAATATTTAATCTACTCATATAACACTAATCTTTATTTAGGGCAGGACGGTGGCAGTTAGCACTGAACCTCTGGGTTCAATTCCTGGGGTGCTATCTGAATGTAAGTTCTATTTGCGCCTCTTTTCTCATGATTTTCTGCCGAGTACTCTGATTTCCTCACACAGTCCAAATACTGGTATGTTAAATGGCTTCTGGCAAAATTGGTCCTGGTGTGAGTCTGTCCATGTTTCTGTTTGTGTACCCTACCATGGACTGGTGTGGATAGTTCATATTTGACAAATTAACTTTTTAGGACTAGAAATGCAGTTTTGCAAGTTATTTGTTCTCGGGCATTATACGTTATATACTTAAGCCTCTTGGATGAATAGCATCCATAACCCTTCAAAAAGACTAAGATGAGCAGTGCAGTCAAGCACATTAAATGAAATGGAAAAACAATCAGAAGAACTTGTGAGCCTTGAAAATGTGTCCCTTTTATTACTTGGAATGCAGCCATCCATACCGTGAATCATAATTTCTGGCCTCATAATTGTGTTTAGCCACAATAGCATAATATTGTATAGGTTTGTCTAATATTGTCTAATTTTTTTTTTTGTTCTAACATTTCTTGGGTTAGAACAGGACTGTCAATAAGAGGTACTGTAACAGAAAGCTTTGGCTACATACCTACAACTTCAAAGATTAAATCACAGTACTGGGAGAAAAGTCAAAAGGTGAAAATCCAGGTATTGAACATTTTTTAAATTAATCTTCCAGCTCTGCAGATTCTCAAAGATTAAAATGCAAGTTTGCTCACAAAATCTACTCTCATAAGTTCACTGCTTCTGTCCTGCAATATTTGGTTAGCAGCACTGCCCTGCATATTAATATCCAAAAAGAGCAAGGAAGAGCAAACTTGGAATAAAGACATGCCAACACTTTGTGAAAATGCTGAATAATTTAAAATCAACATCCTAGGAATAAGAAGTAGAGAGGAAAACTAATGAGACACTTCCAAAAATTTGAGACAAAGCAAGCCACATTCTGCCTTAGTAATATTATCCTGAAAGGTTCAGGAGCAAAGGCAGGTCAATCTGGGAATCAAACTTTGGTCGAACTCCCTTGGCACTGTTCTGTTTGGAAAATACAGCTCCCAAATCTTTGACTTGTGCATATTTTGTCAAGGATTCAGAGCACATGCTCTATGCAGTAAAATGCAGCAATTCAAAAACTTGGCAAATATTATAAAGTGAATACCTATCTGCGATGCCTTTCATTGCACTTGGATAATAACCACTGGTATTTAAAGAAGTACAGCTTTACAGTGGGTCTCAATGGAGCACTTGAATGAATGGCTTAATAGTATCAGCAGGGGTAAACCCAACCAACACCATTACAAACAGAAAACAACTTTTTCATTTTTACATTCAAATGAATTGGCAAGGGTAGCATGCTGGCGGTGGTTAGCATTCCGGCCTCCCTGAGATGGGGCTCTGGGTTCATTTCCGGACATAGGGTGCTTTTTATGTGGAGTTCCTATGCTCTCCCCATGTTTGTGTGGGTCTCCTTCTGGTGCTCCAGTTTCCTACCACAGCCCAAAGACACACCGGTCGATTAATTGACTTCTGGGGGAAACTGGCCCTGGTGTCAGTGTGATTGGATGGGTGAATTGGCAATTGCATACTTTCTAACCTTCATATTACAATGAATGTAATACAACAATGACTGCAGAAGAATCCCCAGCCTTGCCAAAAAAGAAAATGAATCCCTGATAAAATCAAACCTTTCAAAGACCGCAAGCCTATTGATAAATCACTTCAAATGGTCGCCTCCTGGTTGCTGTGACTTTGCCAGAGGCATCTACACTACTGAAAGCTACCATTAAGGTCCGGTGTTAAAACATGCGATTAGTAGCTGAATTGTATTCCAAGCAAAAGAAAATAAAAAGGCAGATTTGCAAACGTAATGCTAGGGATAAAAAACATTTAGAACTTCCCGTCACACACACACATTCACACTTCATTTTTAGCTTTTTTTATGAATGCTTTATTAGACTGTCATTTGTGCGCTAATGCGGACAATTATCAAGCACAGCCATTACTTAAAGGTCAACTGGGTTATCAAGTAATTTAATTGGCTAATTGGCCATTAACTTGCTTGACATGAGAGGGAACAACCAGCTCTGTCTGTGGTAACAGGCATTGATGTGATTAGCTATAGAAAAGCAGGACATTAGGGAAGCTAATTGCTAGAAGCACAAATGTAAAAGGTTTTCATACAGATTATCATGTCCATTAGTATATTGTACATGACATCATTACATGAACAAAGCTAAGGGTGTTATGCTACAAAAAATGTGCAGGAATTACAGATAATTTCTAGTGCTTGTTGAATGGAATATCCTTTACAGCATATAGGAAAATAATATTAAGACATCTTTCAACATTTACACAACTTACATGTCAGGCATGAAAAGATGTACAAGTGTCCTGTTGCAGTTTATGAATTGAATACAATTTACAATTGCTCCTGGGCTTTTCTTTCTAACCGGATGACTTAAGAAAGAAATACACAGTGTGGTATAGCTCTGAGGGGAACAATCACTTTTAAAATGTATTTTATTTGCACTATAATAATTTATACAATTTGTTTTCCCATTAACACAGTTTTTGCTTTCCCTTGTGGGCAAAAGAAAGTCACTAGCCACATTCTTTCAGATAGCAAAAAAATTTAATTTAACATTTAATGGAAACAGACACTTTTTACAGAATTTATGAGCCTCAATGGGACAAGTAACCTTCTCTTTTTAATACACTGTTTTTCTCTCTCATCCTTATATGAAAAAAACACGGAGCCAATCTAGGTCAGCCACATGGGACAAGCCAGGAAGACCTACAAGCCAAGCTGACTTTCGCAGACCAGATAATAGAGCAGGAGAATAAAGAAGGTGCTGTTAAGCTATACTTGTAAAGTATTAAATAGCACTGGTTCTGTTAATCCCTTTCGCTTTTGTGATTCCTGAGAGCGGAGTGTGGGATTCTAGGGAATTAGTGTTGTGCTTTCAAGGCACTAGATATGGCCTGAATATGGAATTGACTCTGAGGTCTGCTGTAACTCTATCAAGACAGCTGTTTTAACAACCTCTTTTATTCAAGAAGACTTATAGAGACTACGGGTTACCCGCGTCTCAATTACTGATGATAAAAAGTCATTTTAAATATTACCTTAGTTTTACATTTCATCCAAAGCACAGAATACATGTTAAGTTGCACAATATACAATATACAAGGTCACTGTTATCATCAACAAGACATCTAGTCCATCCTTAAGCTTATCCCTCTGCCTTCCTTCCAGTGAATATGCTTGAAGGCACATTCTCTCCCATTCACATTATATAAAGAACATTCACACATCAAAGAGCAGTGACCAGTGACACAAGGGCAGTATAAAGGGCAGGAAGGACTGAGCAGCCAGTCTTATGATTCTGTTTCCTTTCCCAGAATTCAGTTTATAGGCATGATTATTAAAGCCCCAAAACCAAGGATAGTATTGCTGAATACCCAGCATAGCTATCGGACTACCTATAAACATATTTATCCATATTGTACGAGAGTAATGTGAATAAAAGCAACTATGATGTACTTAGGGCTCTTTACCAGCTTTTCCCGATAATGAGCAGGATGGTACAGGGAAAAACAATTTCGTCTTTAAAAAAAACAACTGCCATTGTTTTACGATAATCTGCCTTGACAGTTATAAAGGTTTGTTTTCTGCTAGTTCGGTTATATCCCCAAAAGAAAAAAAACAAGATTACCATCTGAGAAAGCAAGACACGTTTACCAGATTTATCACCAGAGCTCATAATAGTAGCATGAATAGCAGCCAATCATATTAGCTAATTTCAAATGACATCTGCTATTGAGTGTCACCTACTATAAAATGATTGTAGATAACAGGACAAATTCAAGTTTTAACTATTTTATGTGGATTTATGTGCTTTATTTTTCTTGCATGAACATTAACATTATGTTGAGAAATTATGCTGAGATATGAAAGAAACATTCTAATTCCCAGCTCACCTTGATGCGAGGCATGGTCACAGTTGGAGCCCTTGCCTTAGCAACAAAACTGTGTGATGATCCACGTTCCACCAGATGTCTTGTGTAGGGCATAAACTCTTTTCCCTTGGGGCCAAACACAAAGTCTTCCCTGAGTGCATCTACCAGCATAATGACCACTCTCTTAAACAGAGGAGGGGGAATCCTGCTGGAGTTAGCTGCATGCCCTGCAAATAAAGACACATCATCACAAATTATGACACTGCTGAGAAATACTGAAATAAAGAAAACAGACACAATTGGATTTAATAAATTTGAAAAACAGTCCATTGACAGCTGCATTAACAACAGAGGGTTCGTTACATACATTTGTATGTCCATCTGATTCAATTAAATAATTAAATTAAAACAGTTAATACGTGCTGCAGACTACTAATAATGTAACTGTTCAAGTCATGGAAAGCTTAAATAAGGATTCTTGCACATCCTGGAGGCAGAAAATTAATATAACTGACATTATACTGCACAGTACATTCGATCTTGAAACCTAAGCATCAAAAATGCATCATTACTGCAAAAGTGACCATCTACAGGTGTGGTACAACTGAAACAATAATCAACTAATCATGCCATACTGCTTATTAGAGCATTTCCCAGACAATATTCTCAAATAAGGCAAGCAAGATGCAGCAAAAGAATTCTTAAGTCAGCTGTTGTCTAGAAGATGTCAGCCTGACCAGCATAACATAGAATACAATTTCAACCATCACTGATTATCTCAAGATTAACTGTAATTCCTGAAAAGCCATCCAGTTTCTCAGCCTGAATAAACTGCGGTACGTTTACAGAGGATTATGGTCCAGATGTGTAGCAAATCACTGTATATATGGGACAGGAGCTCCACAGACTGTATAATACTGACTCTAAAAAGAAAACTCATTATTGAGGGAAGCTGTGTGATGATCTGCGTTCCCCCAGATGTGGACCAGATTACTCATCACAATTTTCAATCAGGCCCTATCTCTCTGTTTGCGTCCTCAAACCTCAAACCTCCTTAATACTAACTGCCACTCTCCATTTTCTCCATTATAATTCATGTACATGTTTGTGGCCAAAAAATGGAAATGCCACTAAATGAGGCAATGCGAGACATAAAAGTTTAAGAGAGGTCTTTCACATTAGTATGGCTTACGCACAAACTAAGCATATAATATCCCAGCATGCTTGGTTTATTGGTGGATTAAAACTAAGATTTTGTTTCAAGAAATGGGAAAAACAGAAGGCAAAGGATAAGATGGTGGGGAAAAAAGGCTGCAATTATATTGTGTGTTACAAGGCTTTAGATGGGATGTTACATATGAAATATGATGAGATGTGAAGGAACTAAAGTAAGTGCATGAGGAGAGAGCAAAGGGAATAGAAATTAAAACTGAGAGGAGAGTGCTCCCATTTCTTTTTTTAAGATGGGGGTAAAGTAAACATGAGGGAAGAAATGTTATGGACAGCTGAAGACTTTTAAAAAGATACGCATAGAGTTAAAAATTCAGATCAGATTCAGATGTGAAGACAAGGGTAAAAGGGGATGAGAATCTTTAAAAAAGAGGGCTGGCTATACAATGGGACTGCGGGCATGTTTTTGGTGATTGGAGTCAGAATCTGTAAGAATACACTGTGGTTTCTGACAAGGCTGTCCTTTGAATAATACCCCACACTGGCTTGAATAGAACAGCTACTACAAAGCTTGAGATAAGAAAAAAGGAATAAAAGGGCTGGAAGTGTCTGGATATGGGTGAGAAACGGGGAAAATGTATCGCATACAGGGATGACACGAAGTTGTTGACTTAACTAGACACAAGAGAATATCTTCCGAACTGTATTTGAATTGGATCGTTTTTAGAATTATACAGTGCCTTGCGAAAGTATTCGGCCCCCTTGAACTTTTCAACCTTTTGCCACATTTCAGGCTTCAAACATAAAGATATAATTTTTTTATTTTATGTGAAGAATCACCAGCAAGTGGGACGCAATTGTGAAGTGGAACGAAATCTATTGGATTTTTGAAACTTTTTTAACTAATAAAAAAATGAAAAGTGGGGCATGCAAAATTATTCGGCCCCTTTACTTTCAGTGCAGCAAACTCACTCCAGAAGTTCAGCGAGGATCTCTGAATGATCCAATGTTGTCCTAAATGACTGATGGTGATAAATAGAATCCACCTGTGTGTAATCAAGTCTCTGTATAAATGCACCTGCTCTGTGATAGTCTCAAGGTTCTGTTGAAAGTGCAGAGAGCATCATGACCAAGGAACACACCAGGCAGGTCCGTAATACTGTTGTGGAGAAGTTTAAAGCTGGATTTGGATACAAAAAGATTTCCCAAGCTTCAAACATCCCAAGGAGCACTGTGCAAGCGATCATCTTGAAATGGAAGGAGTATCAGACCACTGCAAATCTACCAAGACCTGGCCGTCCCTCTAAACTTTCAGCTCAGACAAGGAGAAGACTGATCAGAGATGCAGCCAAGAGGCCCATGATCACTCTGGATGAACTGCAGAGAACTACAGCTGAGGTGGGAGAGTCTGTCCATAGGACAACAATCAGTCTTACACTGCACAAATCCCCCCCAAAATAAGATGCTATATCTCGGGGAAAAAAAGCTGAACAAATACTGCTTTCAACTACACAGACTGCACTAATGTGGGGTGCTTCCTTCATGGAGCTCTTCCGACTTTCTGCAACTTGTTGGGACGGGAAGCCTCAGCTATACTACTTGAGTCACAGCAAAAAATGTTGGGAAAATATTCTTTATTGTGTTGATTACGATGGTTCCTCCTTCTCCAGTCTTACTCAAAGTTTTATTCAAAGGATTGCACTACACTGTATTGTTCAACCTCACTTTGGATGATATTCTTGTATCTAATCTTGACCTGCTGCCAGATCCACCCACTGTTGTCCAGCTAATGTAAATGCACAAATTACTACTGCATAAAACAATATTGTTCAATGGCATAAAGAGGAGTTCCACATCAATGTCATAATGTAAATCAGTGAGAATACATGCTTGCTGGCTCAAATTTGTCTTATCTTGAGATATTTCTTTGGATTTCACAATTAACTTTAAATATTCAATTTATCGGCGATTCTTTGCCCGATTCTCTGAATTGCAGCGGCTACATAATACCTCCTCTCTATACAGACTTTGTCCTCAGAGTTTTCCCACAAAGAGACGTAATTCATCGTCACTGGATTAGGACTCCCACTTCTCTGCCATGTTTTTTTTTTTATCGCGGGTGAAGGATTCGATGCTCGACTCCCCTGCCTACTGAAGTGCGGCGTGAACGAGCAATTAGTCGGAATAAGCGTGACTCGTTTTAATCGGATCATTTAAACCCGTTTCCAAACGCTAAACCGGGAATAATACTGACGTCAATTATCGGGTTAATTTAATCTAAGTAATTTGAGAAAATCCTGAATTAGTCAAACCTGAAACAGCACCCAGGATCATAATACAATAGAGAAACAATCTTTTTGCCATAATATGTATTGTAGACAATAATACATACAAAAATAACATTAAGGTAACAAAGAAACTATCGGTATTTTAACGCTTAGGTGTGTCACCTAAGTGTGTACTCCAAAAACATTAAGATTATTAACCTAGTCATTTAAAGCATTTCAATGCTACTCACCTTCTAAAGGTTCGAGTGGGAGATCTGACACTTTGCTCTTTGAAGAAAGAGACGACTTAACAGGAACTGGGAAAAAACCTCGTAAGAAAAGAACGATTCCAAATACTTCGATTACCAGACAGAGAGAAGCAAAAACAGACGAACGGATTTTCATTTTAAAGGTTTAAGAGAACTAGCTAAATAAGCCAAATAATATTGTCAAAATGATACTAAGTTACTAAAAATAAATATTAAGCGCAAACACGTTGCATCTTCATTTTAATTGGCTTTCTTTTAAAACTAAAAATAATCTGACGTTTTTTCACATGTATAGCTTTTATTTTTCAGAATTTAGGATAAGTACTTTGCAAAATGCGTATTTTAAAGCGTTATCCACACAGGGCTCAATAAACAAACAAAATAACTATTAGCAAGAAAAAAATAAATCTTATTATCTTATTTTTTACTCGATATTCAATTTAGCACAACTTAAAATCCTCTTTAAAAATTATTTTCTCAGTTTGAATTGGAATTGTTTCCATTTTGTGCAGCCCAAACTTCCGCGTTATTTATAACTACGGATGGTCAATAGGGTCAAACAACCTTTCCGGTAAATGTATGTTTTATGCACAGAATTTCCATTCAGAACCCACTGTATTTAACGTTAATTTAAAGTACAAGGCTCCCTCCATAGTCAAGATGTTAAAATTAGAATAGCTTTGAAAGTTTGGGCGATGACGTTGAAATCTATATAATTCTAAAAATATTTTTTTCGTGAAATGCTGAAAAAAGACTTAACACTAGATGGCACTAGAGAACAAAAAAAAAAACACTTCAAGGCACTAGAAATAATCAGCATCCCAGGCTGAAAGAGTTTTAAAACATCTCCGCTAAATTGAACAATCTCACTTGATAATTCACTCTGTCGAGCTACACAGAGTACTGACTGGACCTACAGAAAACCATAAAGATTGAACAACCCTACACACAAAGCAATAGTTGATCATTTTACCATGTTAATATCGTGTGTCATCTAGCTTAATGTATCGCTTTTATTCAACGTATTGGCTAGGAAATTGTTTTAATCACTGCTAAAGCACCTGAAAACAAAACGTTCAGACTAACTTCGAAGGCTTCGAAGTGGTCTAAACGGTTTAATAATCCAGGACAAATATAAAGAGAAAGAAAGCACTTTAATAAAATTTTTAAAACAGATTAGTATCGATGTTTAAAAAGAGCATTATTAATTGCAAGAACAAGAAAGAAGTATTAGACTGAGAGGGATTCTGGCAATAGTGATGAGGGCTAAAAACAATAAAAGGTTCTTTCTGTATTACAATAGTAGACAAACAAAAAAAAAACGATTAAGTAAAACGTCTCAAAAACATTTTATTTTTTTTCCTGCTTTATTATTTAATGGAAAATGTTAAAATAGTTTTAAAGCTAAACCACGTAATTATGTGCCAATGTAATAGACGTCCTACTTCGTTTACATACAAAATCAATTGAAAATCATCCACACAACAACAGGATGCTAGCGGACTGTCTTAGTTAAATTGTCAGGCTTCCACAATATGCAGTAGGAGTATCATAACAACACAGCATAAGATGTGTATTAACATATACAGTATATTATATTGTATTGTGGTATATGGTATTTTTAGATTTTGAGAAGACTTTTGATTATGCCCAAAATTAATGATTAATACTTTAATGGAGGTGGTAGCCTAGGTTACATCATGTTTGTAACAAGTTAAAATAATAGTAAATAGAGGTAATGTACGTTGAGCATGACAGGTAAGAGATGAATGCTCTAATTGGAATGATGTCATTAGTGTACCACAGGTACAGCCATTTTGAATTGCTGTATCTGTATTAAGACTGCATTCGTCTTAATTTATATCTATTAGTCTGATTCAGATTTAAGTTCACAAGTTTTAAAAGTTTACAGGATATACCAAAGTACACTCACTAGCAAACACTATAGCAGTTGCAAGGAGAATTAAAAAAATAAATTGACAAAATCCAAGATCCCGACTCTTTAGTTTCAAACGGATAAGACTTGAATCAAAGATTTAAAATCCTCAGAAGGCATTGATCAAGTCGGTGCAGAGGACTTCTTTAGAATTAGGGAAAGTGAATATAAAACAGATAACGGAGATCACTATATTATGCAAAGGGCTGTTCAAGTCTAAAACAAGCTACTCAGCTATATTGGTAAAGCTGATATCCTGGATTCGTTTCAGGATACAGTTGGATGAGATCATCTAATCAATTAGCTGCTGAAAACCCAACAAGCTAGATGAACTACAAAATTGTCATCACCTTTCTTGTTCTGCAACAGCGATTTGCTTACAACTTCACCTTGTAGCATATTTAATTTTTCTAGTTTTTGAACTATGAACATACAGTATCATCCTACCATTTTTACAAAAGGTTTTAAAGGATATACATGCCCATACTGTACAGGTCACTTAAAAAATTCCACTTAGAAGAAGTGTTCTATCTTTAACCACCACATTTGTGATGTACTGTACAATCTCCCTTTCAAAGAAATCCCCCAAGCTTACAAGGATGTTCTAAGTGACACACATACTGTAAAGTCTAAAAATGGTACTGAGTGAAAATAAGAACTGTTGTTTTACTAAAAGAAGAAATATTTTCAAGGCAGTTATGTCTCAGTTGGTACTGTAAAACTGCCTGGCAGAGTAATGCACTTCCATGGGAATAATTAGTCTGTGTTCTTGTATGCTCACAATAGGAGACATATTTGATGCACAATGAATCTTCAAATGAATTCCATAGTTTTGCAGATGTTCCCCATAGACAATCTAATATAGCTCCACAGCAGACCATCTGTAATGCATTTTTTTCTTTAACTTAGCATAAAATAGCCTATAAAAATACTGTGTTTGTAAATTCTAACAAGCAACAGCTATTATTATGGATTTCCCTGGTAAATATATTTTTATTTCAGAAAGGTTTTTTTTATCAATATCTTCAGGGAATATATTTTGCTCTTCACAGCCATACTTTTGTTAACAGACTTGTTTAAGCTTACAAATTCTGTATAAACAATTAATTTGTTTGCTCACAGAATAATTTATTAAATACTTTGTAGATAATATGAATGAAAATGCACCACCTCTACTAGCCTCCAAACCCCCCATTTTCTGTACTGTATTTTTTTTTTGGTATTTGACATTCTTTTGTGCCAACTCAGCATCTAAAGAGAACACAGAAAAGCCAATGGAATCTGCAAACAAAGCAGAATTTTTCAAATGTGTCTGTCACATGAATGTCAAGAAAAGTTCTCTTAACTGAAGCTTTTTTCCCCTCAGCATACCCTTAGCTTACAGCTAGCTAAATCAGTGACAAGAAAATCAGAGATTTACACGAGTACTTAGTGGGTGCTTAAATGTGCTGATGCCCCAATACTTCGCTATGCTGAAAATCTATGTTCTCATAGATTCAAAAGACCAAAAAAATGAAAAACACAATATTCATGTACTGTAATTACACATTCCTTTCACTTTTCTCATTTATAACAGTTCACGTGTATGCCTACTCTTTGAACATTGTACTGTTTGTACGGACAACATTCCATACCTATAAAAGAAAAGGGCCCTACTTGCTATTTGCATACATGCCTATGATATTAGTATATTTTTATATGTTCATTTTATTTATTTTTTATTGTTGCTGTAAATCCTTTGTTATATAAACATGGACAGTATAAATGACACACGTGTAATTTTAATTGAAAGGTAAACACATTATTTATACATAATGCAATATAATATATATGTATTTAATACTGCCCAGATCTAGAGAGTCAGATCTAAGTGTGTCTTAGCAGCTGCTAAATGGTCTGTAGGTATATTTAGTGGTGTACTGTAACATACTGTATATGAATGTACCTGGAAATGAATTCCATTGAGAATTACAATGCACTGCATGGAGTTACACTTATTTCTACTTAATCTTCAAGGGGAAACATATCTGAAGCAAATGATTTATGGATTTAAGTTGTTCCACTTTATTAAATGGCCTTGCGATCATATCATGAAGTGGCTTATTGTTGCCTCTTGATATAAAAATGAGAATGAGCAGGATTTTAATTTGAGTCATTGTGTGACCTAGTTTTTATTAACAGAAATGGCACAGATTTAATATATATAATAACACTCACTTTTGAAACTATACAGAGCATCAAAACATAGTTAATGGTTATACTGTAATTGCAACAAATTCACAGTAATCGTATGGAAAATTACTAGCATTACTGAAGCAGATAGCACTGACACCTTATCAAAAAGACATGACTTGGGTAAATTTATTTATAGTGGCAATCTAATACCATCTGTGGACGCCTGTGCTTTGCATCAGATCCTAGATACTGTTTTCTGGAATTCTATCCCAGAGCCTGAATAGCCATACCCCTGTTCACTGGTCTCTGAGCACTAGATACTACGTCACCCCAGCCCTACCCAAAAATATATAATGAGATTCAAGTGAGTGGTGAGTAGGATACCTATTGCATAATTGTTTCATTCTGATCTCCCAAGAAAGACGTCACACCATGAGCATGTAGACATGCTGTGATCTGCAAGAGTGTTTTCATGTTAAAGCAAAGCGAACAGGAAGGACAGGACATGTTCAGAGTAGTTTTTGCACTCAGGTTCTGACAACCACTCACAATCACAGGAGTTCTACAGTGTCTAAACACTCCTGCCCAGGCCATAAAGCTTGTATCTCCACATGGATTGGTGTGTTGTACATCTCACTTAGGGTATCATTCTACACATCTGTGAAACATTTGGCCCACAACCATCAGGGTGTTCTACAAAAGGCCTAGATTAATTGCTAAAGAAATATTGAGTATACTTCTGGCAAATACACCTGAAGTGTTGATCTAGCATTCCAAAGGCACAAAGGATTTTGTTCTCATCTTAAATGAGGAATATTGGCTCCTTTCTGTGCTTTTCTTTTTTGATTTTTACAGAACTTGACATTCATAAGGTTCAACAATTTCATCCCTTGTATCCAATCAACTCTTTCATTAATGAAGGGGTTTAGTGTTTAAGTAAAGTCACTTGGGTATATCTCTGTAATGGATGACTATTCAAATTAACCAGAATGATGGCAGAAAAATATAATAAATATCCAAATCCCATATACTTTATTATTCTATCAACATACATGCTTTAACAGAGCAATACATTTCTTGTGATGCTCACTCCCAAAGAAAAATAAACCAAAGAAAATCACAAAAGAACACAGTGAAAGGCAATCCTTTAAGCACTGGTGCAATTAGCTCTGAATTCTATGATGTACCTCCATCTGCTGGTAGAAATTACAACAGCACTGTATCAGTAACATAATACAAGTTAAGTGTTAACTCCACCACAGCTTGTCATAAAATTGGTAACAAGCAGAAATGGTCTATTGCAGTAGGTAACACAGTGTGTACAAACAGGTCTGCGCATAAAAACAAAATCCTGCTCCATTTGAATTTTAACATTAGGGATGTTATCAT